TCTGCAGTTTTCAACTTTATTTTTAGTTTCTTTTTTACGGTGGTTTCTCAGCACAGCTCCAAACATTTAATAACTGATTCAGGTGTGAGATCATGGGTGTAGATTACAATGGATCAGTCTATTTCTACACATTGTTTATTGATTCTAAAAAATAAAAAAAAATAAAAAAGTTTATTGTGATTTATACCATTTCTTAGAATGGAAGTTGGATAAACTTAATGACACATTTGTTAAATTAAAAATGAGTCACAGAAAATCTAACGTGGATTTGATACCAAGACATGAACCATATTGTCCTAGCTTTTAGCTACTGTTTTCCTGATTTTAGCTTTTAGCTATTTGTTTTTGCTTTTAGCTACTGTTTTGCACTTTTTAGCTTTTATCTTGTCAGGATTTCTGTTTTTCCTTGGTTTGTTAATAACCTCTTGTTAGGTATGATAGGTTTATTTCTTTTTTAGTTATTATGTTTATGATTCTTATGATTCATATTTGATCAGTTTGTTGTGATTCCTTTGTGCCATCTACTACTTGTGTCCATTTCTGTTCTCCGCAGTAGCCTACCAATCACAGCTGTTTCCAGTTTCATTTAGCCACAGCTGCAGCCACTCTTCCCACCATCCTCAGACCATAGAATGGACTGTTAATTTCTACAACACATCCATGTTTTTCTTGTGTTTTTTGCACTTATTCTGAGTTAGTAAGTTTTTGCGGTCAAAACAACTTTTTTATTTGTTTAAAAAATAAAAATTAAGTTTGTTTTATAAACTCCTCAAGTCCATCTGCATTTGGAATCCAAACCTCGTGCTAACCGTGACATACTCTTACTATTGTTCTGCTAATTTTAACTTTTTGGTAAAAAAAAAAGATTAATCTTTGTCTCTACAGATATATTTAGAATATTTGAATTTACTTCTATATTAAATTGTTCAGAATAGAGTTGCTGCCAAGACAACAACCTTCTCTTGCAGAATTTCTCAGGATGTAATTTAAAGTTTCAATCTAAAGCAAATTTAAACACGTGTTTCCTGGTAACTGCAGGACTTTGTGTTCTGGACTAAACGATTCCAGGTCAGAATTGAGGTCAAAGCTGTTCGGCTGTCTGCGAGCAGAAGTGTGCAAAAGTAGGTGGCTTACAAGTCTCCTTTATGCAACTTTTATTGGAGACTCGTTGAGGTCTCTGTGGTACTTACAGACATCATTAGGATTCTGCACTTCCTCCTCATATCAGTACAAACAGGCACCGCGGTCAGGAAAAGTAGTAGTGAGGCAGAAAACCTTTTCACACAATAATGAAAACTGAACATGCAGCTGAACATGTAGCAACAGCCTGACGATGCAATTTGAATTTTAAAACAGGGACATTTTTCAGCTGAAATACATTGGAAATCTTAGAAATAATATGCAAATGTTCAGCATTAAACACTGATAACCARTAAAAACTACATGATGTGACTGGATTAAGAGTGTTTTTATTGAGAATCTGRGCTTTTCAAGAGACTTATTTATTATAGATCAGGGGTGCCCAAACATTTTCCCTGAGAGGGCCAAAATTAAAATCAATCTGAGGGCCGCGGGCCAAATGCAATAATATAAGAAATGCTCAATACTTAAGTAAAGTTGTTTTATTTTTTATGATTAAGCTAGCAGCCAGTGTGGTTGCCCACATTCTTTTTTATCAGCTCATGGACATGAAGAAAATTCAACGTATGCTCAGGCAGCAAAGACTCATGGGACTTTTCATAATTTAAAATTTGAGTATATGTGGTCTTAAAAGGTGTGCAAATCTTGATATGGGCTTAAATCTAATCTAAATGTCTCTTGTAGTTACTTGTATTTTATATTTAATCTTAACATAATTCAACACATTCTCACTCCCGAGTCGTCACATATTGACGTTTTTCAAAGGTCCCTTTGCGTCCAATTTTGACGCATCAGGTACCCCCCTCGCGTCAGTCCTTGCCGCCCGCGGCTTTTCCGGGTTGCGCCACCAGGGGTCTTTGGGTCGGGGGTCTGAGGTTAACAT